GGTGGTGCATGCCTGTAGTCCCAGCTACTCAAAAAGCTGAGGTGGGAGGATTACTTGAGCCTGGGAGGTTGAGGCTGCAGTGAGCTGTGATCAAGCCTCTGCAATCTAGCCTTGGTGACAGAGAAAGACCATGTCTCAAATACATAAATAGGATCATAAGGGAATATTTTGAACAATTATACACCAACAAGCTACATAAATTAAAAGACATAAATAAATAAATTCCTAGAAACATTCACCCTAAAAAAAACCCAAATCAAGAAAAAATAGAAAGCCTGAACATACCAATAACAAAGAAGGAGATTTACTTAATAATCAAAAATCTCTCAAAAAAGAAAAGCCTAGGACCAGATGGTTTCATAGCTGAACGTTCTACCAAACATTCAAAGATGATTTAACATGAATTCTTCTTAAAGTCTTCTAAAAAATAGAAAAGGGAACACTTCCAAAACTGTTTTATGAGGTCAGCATCACCCTGATACCAAAGCAAAGCAAAGCAAAGACAACACCAGAAAAGAAAATAAACTACAAGCCAGTCTACCTCTGATAAACACTAACAGATACTAAATGAAAAATTCTTAGTAAAATACTAGCAAACCAAATTCAACAGCATGTTAAGAAGATCATACATCAGGAACAGGTGGGGTTTACCCCTGGATACAAGGATGATTCTGCATGTGCAAGGATGGTACAGCACATCCACAGGCTGAAAGATTCACACACACACACACACACACACGATTATATCCACAGATGTACAAAAGGCATGTGACCAAATTCAACATCCATTCATGATTTTAAATGAAGATGAAGAAGGAGGAGGAGAAGAAAGAGAGGGAGAAGGAAAAGGAGAAGAAGAAAGAAGGAGGAGGAGGAGGAAAGAAAAAAGAAGAGGAAGAGGAGGAGGAGGAGGAGAAAAGAGAGGAAAAGAAAAGAAAAAAAGTGAATAGGGGAAAAAAGGAAAAGAAAAGAACTCTCAACAAAATCGGTATAGGCCGGGCACAGTGGCTCATGCCTATAATCCCAGTATTTTGAGAGGCTGAGACAGGAGGATCGCTTGAGCCCAGGAATTCAAGACCAGCCTGAGCAACATAGCAAAATTCATCTCTATTATAAAATAAATTGTAAAAACAAAAACAAAAACAAAAATAAAATAAAATAGGTATAGAAGAAACTTACCATAACACAATAAAAACCATATGTGAAAAGCCCACAACTAACATCATAATCAATGGGAAAACAAAAAACAAACAAACAAACAAAAACAGAAGCTTTTCCCCTAAGATCCCATGCAAGGCAAGATGCCCCGTCTCCACTTTTACTCAACATTGCACTGGAATCCCTAACCAAAGCAATTAGACAAGAAACAGAAATGAAATGCATCCAAATTGGAAAAGAAGAATTAGAATCCTATTCTCTGTGTGCAGATGACATAAACATACGTGTAGAAAAACCTAAAGACTCCACAATAACAAAAAGTCTGTTAAAACTAATAAATGAATTAAGTAAATTTGAAGGATAAAAAATCAACATACAAAAATCAATGATGTTTCTACACACGGACAATAAATAAATGAAAATAAAATTAAGAAAGCAATCACATTTATGAAAGGAATAAGTACTTAGGAATAAACTTAACAAAGGCGGTGAAAGATTTTTACAATGGAAATTATAAAATACTGATGAAGAATGTTAAAGAAGATACAGATAAATATCAAGACATCTCATCTTTATAAATTGGAAGAGCTAATATTCTTAAAATGTTCATACTACCCAAAGTGACCTCCAGATTCAATGCTAGACCTATCAATACTGAAATGCTATTCTTTATAGAAATAGAAAAAATAGGCTAGGCATAGTGGCTCACACCTGTAATCCCGGCACTTTGAGAGGCTGAGGCGGGTGGATCACTTGAGTTCAGGGGTTCGAAACCAGCCTGGCCAACATGGTGAAACCCCGTCTCTACCAAAAATATAAAAAATTATCCAGGTGTGTTGGCGTGCACCTGCAATATAGCAAAAAGATAAAAAATAACACATGTTGGCAAGGATGTGGACAAAAGAAACCCTTGTACACTGTTGGAGGGAATGTAAACTAATACAGCCATTGTAGAGAATGTATTGGTATTCCTCAAAAAATTAAAATAGAACTACCATATAATCCAGCAATACCAATTGTGGATATATCTCGAAAGAAAATGAAATCAGAATCTTGGATAGATATCTGTTATATAGCCAACACATGGAAACAACCAAAATTTCTGATGACGAATGGATAAAGAAAATGTGATGCACACACACACACACACACACACACACACACACAAATATTGTCAGGTTTTAAAAAATAAAGGAAATCCTGTCCTTTGCAACAACGTGAATGAAGCTGGAGGACATTATGTTAACTGATATAAGCCAGAAACAGAAAAATAAATACTGCATGATCTTATTTGCTTGTGGAATCTAAAATATTCAAACTCATAGAACCAGAGAGTAAAATGGTGGGTGTCAGGACCAGGGAGGGAAAAGAGAAATGGGGAGATGTTTATCAAAGGGTACAAAAGAGTACAGTTATACAAGATGAATAAGTTCTAGATAGTTAATATACAGCAATGTGACTATGGTTAACAATATTGTATTATTTACTTTAAATTTGTTAATTTGGTAGATTGTAAGTGTTCTCACCAAAGGAAAAAAAAAGAATTAAGATGATAATTATGTAAGGTTATTTTATGTGAATTACCTTGATTGTGATTTCACACAATTACTGCAATAATTTCACAACAAACATATGTATCAATATATCAAGTTGTATACCATAAATATATAGAACTTTTATTTGACAATTATATATCAATAAAGCTGAAAATAATATTGAAAGAAAATATTGCATGAAGGAGATACAGCTCACTAGATTTAAGAATGACCTAACAGAATGCAGAACAGGAATTCTAGTGTTCAAGGGTCTGAAAGAAGAGGACCAGAGTAAGGATTAGACTAAGAGCACCAGCTCTGGAGACCTCTCATCAGTTCCTGTCTGTCTATCACACAGGACATGGGACTTTTCTTTGTCTTGCTCCATCGTGCACATTGAGGCCACCTCAGCTCAGAGCTGTGTGCCTTCAAGAGGGTCCCCCATCCACAGAGAGATGCTTAACCTAGTGTGTTTTTCTAGAAAGAGATGGATATGAGTTAAAAACACTAATCAGGGCTGATTGGTCTTTGCCAGCTTGAAAATGGAAACGTCCACTCAGGAAACATGATAGGGATTCTACAGAGGTGAATGTTCTTGGGGGACTGTTTGGTGTTCTTGTTTGTAACACATGACAGACACTTGCAAAAGCACCAGAAAGTGAAGCCAAAGGAGCAATGAGCTAAGTGGTGGCATTGGGGCTTGGTGGACAAGGAGATGGGTGATTGGGGAAATGATAGAATGATAGTTTTGAATGTAAGACCCTTGTTTCAGTATGCATGCTTTAAACATTTATGTGCTATATTATATTAAACAATAATTGAGATAATGTCTATAATTTGAGATATTATTAAAATGGTAATGGTCAATGACCGGCTCAGAAATCCATCTGGGTGAGTGTATTGGAGCCAGTAGCCTAGATCACTGTGAAGAGAGATTTTGCTGCAAGAAACAGACATCTGATCTTTACCAGAAGCTGCTTTGTCCTCAGTTCCAAGGACACAATGAGAAAATGGCCCTTATGAGGAAGTAGACAGTCATTAGACACCAAATCTCCCAGCACGTTGATCTTAAGACTTCTCAGCCACCACGAGTGTAAGAAATACATTTCTGTTTTTATAAGCCACCAGTTTAAGGTATTGTGTTATAGCAGCCCAAAGGTACTTGGATAATAACCAATGTACTTTTTAAAAATGTGTGGTCGGTCTCGATGGCTCACGCCTGTAATCCTTACATTTTGGGAGGCCGAGGCAGGTGGATCATGAGGTCAGGAGTTCGAGACCAGCCTGACCAACACAGTGAAACCCAGTCTCTACTAAAAATGCAAAAATTAGCTAGGTGTGATGGCACATACCTGTAATCCCAGCTACTCGGCAGGCTGAGGCATGAAAATCACTTGAACCCAGGAGTCAGAGGTTGTAGTGAGCTGAGATCGTGCCACTGCACTCCAGCCTGGGCAACAGAGTGAGACTCTGTCTCAAAAAATAAAATAAAATATATAATCTGTTTAATTGAAGTTTATATGTTTTAAGGTTTAATGATGATTATAATTTAAAAGTGGCTCACAAAATCAAAGAAAATAAAAAATGGCTAGAGAACACCCTACATGTTTAAAAAAAATTAATTCTCATGGTTATGAGATTAAATGGGATTCCAGCTAGAAACAGAATTGGCTCACCTTGAAAATAAACTACCCATAGAATCTTTGAGGACCAGGAGACTCATCCACCGAATAAGCTTCCCTGTAGATCATTTAGGAAAAAGCCCATCCTAACAGGGAGACAGTCTATGTTCAGGGCTGTTTCCAGGACAGGGGTTCAATGATCTGCTAGGAGGGGCCATTCTCACAGAGAACAGAGACAATCACTCAGATGTGCCCTAGCTAAGTCCCCATGGCTAGATATTGGGTCAAAGACAAAGGAACCTAAAAAATAAAAACAAGGTTGGGCGTGGTATCTCATGTCTGTAATCCCAGCACTTTGGGAGGCTGAGGTGGGTGGATCACCTGAGGTCAGGAATTCAAGACCAGCCTGACCAGCATGGTGAAACCCCGTCTCTACATTAGCCAGGCATGGTGGCACATGTCTGTAATCCCAGCTACTCAGGAGACTGAAGCAGGAGAATCGCTCGAAGCAGGAGAATCGCTCGAACCCGGGAGGCAGAGGTTGCAGTGAGCTGAGATTGGGCCACTGCACTCCAACCTGGGTAACAAGAACAAAACTCTGTATCAAAATAAATAAATAAACAAATAAATAAATACAAAATTAAAAAAAAAGAAAACAAATCAATAAAATCCTTTACTTTTGTGCTCAGTCTCCCAACATCTTCGGCTCTTCTCTCAGTTGCTGTTGCTTTAGGAAGAGACCTGCAGAGGAATAAATAACCCTGCAAAGACAGCCATCCTTATTAGAGTGTGGTGGATATAGAGTTGAGTAAGACGTTATTTCTGGAGCACTGACCCAGGCCAGTCAGCACAGTGAGGGGGATGGAGGAATTTAATGTGAGGGTTTCACTGAAAACTGCAGAAATGGTACTGAGCAGCCAGTTCCTGTTGCTCTGTCCCTGCCATTGAAAAATTGGAAAGAGTCACCAGCCAGGACCATATCACACAGGAAAAGAAGAAGCTGCTGTTGTCCCTAGACAATTAACCAGAGAGCATGTTTCTTCTGCATTTCACTGTGGGAGCGGAGAGCGGCTGAGAGTGGACTAAATTCTCAAGGTCATGTTGCACGAAGCCCCCTTCTGCACGGAGTAAGGAAGCACCTCCATAGCAAGAGAAAGCCTGAGAGCCCAGGGCAGGTTTCCGTCTCACTACCCATGAACTCGGACCACTGTGGAAAGTGTTGCAGCCTGCATATGAGCTGCAGTAATAATCAACCTTGCTCTCAGCCTGCAGCCCAGCGATGGTCATGGGGGCCGTGTTGCCAGACTTGGAGCCAGAGAAGCGATCAGGGGCCCTCGAGGGCCAATTACTGACATGGTAAATCACGAGTTTGGGGGCTGTGCCTGGGTGCTGCTGGCACCAGGAGACAAGGTCATAACCCCCAATGTCATTGCTGGTTCCAGTGCAGGAGATGGTGACTGACTGTCCAGGAGACCTGGACACTGAGTGAGGCTGAGTCAGAACAGACTGAGCCCAGGATCCTAGAAAGAGGGAGAAACACACTCCAGTGAGTCAGTGCTGGGCCCAGGTGAGCCTGAGGAGCAGAAGACCAAGGATCAGCCCAGAGGTCCCCAAGGCCCCTTCCATGGAGGCATCACCTGTGCCCTGAATGAGGAGGGTGAGGAGGAACAGAGCCCGGGCTGTGGTGGAGATGTCCCTAGAGCGGTGCCTCCTGAGACCCCAGCACTGGGCCTGCCACCAGCCCTGTCTTTTCCCCTCTGCCTCAGAGCAGGGCGGGGCCTCCATGCAAATCTGAGCTCCTCTCCTCACCCCACCATCACCTGGTCCTGGGCTCAGAGACTTCTGCTTCCCTGGACAGTGGGGCTCAGCCGAGGGGATTAAAACTTGTTTTCTATTCTGATGGTAGGAACTTGATTCCTTTGTACCTGATTTCCTCAAGAAAGAAAGATCTGCTGAAGTCCCTCATCTGAGTGAGCTCCTGGCCCTCACGGTCTCTGCTGTGCGGCGCCTGTGTCTCTGTGACCCTACATGCCTGGGCCACTCCATGGTGCCCTCTGCTTGGCACCCACCTCCGGCCTGTCTACACTGTGAGGAAACTGGGCTGCCCAGCCCATGGAAACCACTGCTCTGTGTTGTTGGCCTCCCATCTTCAGCTGCAGCCTTTTCCCATCCCCACCCCCACCCTTCATGGGCATCTGCATCTGCAGCATCAAATCCCTTGAGCACGTCAGTCATTCTAGGTCATGGAGCATCCAGGGACACACATGGGAGGGGCCCTGTGGAGGAAACAAGGAGCGATGGCCGGGGCCACAGTCCGATGCTCCCAATCCTGCCCTTCCCACTCATGAGCAAGTGACTTGTCCTTTTCAGCCTCTGGTTCTCAGCCTGAGAACTGAAGACCACAGGGTCCACCCACTGCCCATGCAGGGGATCTGTAGAGAGATGAGTGTGAGGTGGAGAATGAAAGCTTCTAAAATGGGTCATTTCTAGCCTAGTAAAAACCATTTATTTTTATTGTAGACTTGATACTTATCTAAAGATTTCAGACCAGGCGTGGTAGCTCACTCCTGTTATCCCAGCAGTTTGGGAGACGGAGGTAGGAGGATCGCTTGAGACCAGGAGTTCAAGACCAGCCTGGCCAACATGGCAAAACTCCAACTATACTAAAAATACAAAAATTAGCCAGGCATGGTGGTGTGTGCCTATAATCCCAGCTACTTGGGAGACTGAGGCAGGAGAATCACTTGAATCCAGGAGGCAGAGGTTGCAGTGAGCCAAGATGAGGCCACTGCACTCTAGCCTGGGTGACAGAGAAGGACAGCAAGACTGTAAAAAACCATATATATATATATATATATTTCATTCAACTTTATCTTCGATTTTTTTCCTCATATTACAAAGAAGTGTTATTTTTGCTTTCTAGGTTTTCTTCCATCTCACTATATCTACAAGCCACAATAAAACCCACTTTTTGGCCAGGCATTGTGGCTCACCCCTGTAATCCCAGCACTCTGGGAGGCCGAGGCAGGTGGATCACCTGAGGCCAACAGTTCCACACCAGCCTGACCAATATGGTGAAATCCCGTCTCTACTAAATATAAAAAATTAGCCAGGCACGGTAGTGCCCACCTGTAATCCCAGCTACTTGGGAGCCTGAGGCAGGAGAATCACTTGAACCTGAGAGGTGGTTGCAGTGAGCCAAGACTGCGCCATTGCACTGCAGCCTGGGCAACAAGAGTGAAACTCTGTCTCAAGAAAACAAAAAACAACTTTTCTTAATCAAGGAGCACATAAGAAACACAGAGGCTGGGTGTGGTGGCTCATGACTGTAATCCTTCACCTTAGGGGGCTGAGGCAGGTGGATTGCTTGAGCCCAGGACTTTGAGACCAGCCTGGGCTCGCATAGTGAGACTTCATCTCTATTTTTAAATTTAAATTTTAAAAGATAAATAGAATAAACATAGAACCATTGTGAAAATTTTTCTCCCTGTTTCTTTCAAGTCATTTTTAAAACTCTTTCATCTTTTGATGTTTTCCATGGCCTGTGATTCAAGATTGATTTAATTTTCATGTTTAGAATATTATTATTGTTTTCAGGTTCCATTTAGGATGCAGTGGCATATACCACCTTTTCTCCAAACCCAGCTATAAAACCTAGGACAGAATCCTTGGAGTATCAATTTGATTACTTGGAAAACCAAATTATTGGAGGCAGACTAGGGGAGATACCAGCACTTTCAGTAACATCAAACAAGCAGAGAGCTTCCCGTTTTCCCCCAGTGTCCCCTGGCCTGCACTCAGGGCAGCCTGAAACCTGGAAGGGGTACCAGTGTGCAGCCACAGAAGTTCCAGAAGAAGCTCCACTGTTCTGGCTTGAAGATGAGAAAAGAGACCCCTAGTGCTCAGGGCAAATTTGAAATGTCCACATTTCCCTTTTCTTGTGTTTGTTCTTCTCTCCATTCTACAAGATCCAGCCTCCAGGAAATTCTTCGTGGTGACAGCAAGGACAGTGGAGACTGTGGGGACTTTCTTTCCTCATCTTCGGAGCTGATTTCCAAGAAAGTTGCACTTAATCCCCTTACCTTTGTTACTCTCTGTCTCTTGGTGTTTGATTGGACACAGACTCAGTTGCAGGAAGTGCACAGCAGTGCAGGGTAACTAAAGTCACACTTTTTTTCACCAGAACACCAAAAGAGAAGGTCCGGGGAACCATAAATAATGGGCAGACTGGAGAGAAATAAGTTTGAGGGGAAAAAAACCCTGTAAATTCCTTATGAAATCTTCGACTCAACTCTGAGCTGCACGTGCATGGATCTGATCCAAAATAGAGTAAGAAAGACTCAGGGAACAGAACCAAGGAAGAGATCTCCACCAGCTCCCAGATGACCACTGTGGAGTGATCCAGGCGCTCTGTTTCCCGGGGACCAAAGGCAGAGCTGGGGACTATTTATTCCCACTCGGTACCTTCTAGGTTCCTTCAGTTAGAATGACCCTCAAATATCTCTGTCCCCTTCCTATGCAGTGCTCTGAGGCTGGGGGCTGAGGCTATTTATTAGCCTTTCTAGAAACGAACATATTGGGACACAACATATTTTGGACACTCCACTCCGGGCTTCTCCCTTAGAAGGGCCTCAGGAGGAAGCAGCCCATGAACTTCATACACTCCCTGGTTAAATCACAGCCATTCCCTTCCCCAAATCCAGGCCCTCGCCGCCCCCTGGTGGCCTCAGATAGAGGAGCGCAAGCCCCAGGGAGGCAGCTGAGTGGAGTTGGAAATCCCTGTCCTGCTCTTGCCCCTTCCCACTCCTTTCCCTCCCAGCTCAGGACCAGGCCTCCTGGTCCCTTCTAATCCCCTCCAGGCTCCCAGCCCTTGGTCCTCTGGCTTCCTCCAGGATGGCATGCACCTTCTGCCACACCGGGGGGCCCAGACCCTCCCCGGCAGAACCTCTTAGCTTGTCCCAGGGCAGGCTGGTCACAGCGTTAGTGCACCCGAGGCAGCTGTAGAGGCTCGGGGTTACAGAAATATTGTTAGGTGGTAAATAAAACCAACCCCAGGAGGAAGGCTGAATGAGAAAAATGGGATGAGGAGAAATTGATCAGTTCATCAAAATGGTTTGGAAGAAAGACTAGTTCATGAAGGACAAAGAGTACAGTCAGACTTGAGAACAACTGAGTGGACAGCCAGAGGTGAGTTCCTGAATTTGAGGACATGGAAGAAGGGTCAGGGATCAGGCTGGGGCTAAGGGTTCCAGCTCCAGGGGCCTCTCATTAGACATTAAAGTGATAAGCGGCCTGGCGCAGTGGCTCACGTCTGTAATCCCAGCACTTTGGGAGGCCGAGGTGGGCAGATCTCTTGAGTCCAGGAGTCTGAGACCAGCTTGGGCAACATGGCAAAACTCTGACTCTACCAAACTTTTTTTTTTTAATTAGCTGGGCATAGTGGTGCATGCCTGTGGTGGTCCCAGCTACCAGGGAGGCAGAGGTTGCAGTGAGTCAAGATCATACCACTGCACTTCAGCCTCAGTGAGAGAGGGAGACCCTGTTTCAAAAAAAAAAGAAAGAAAAGAAAAGAAAAAAGGATAAGTTGTAACCCCCACCCCACAACTTAGTTTTCTTTCTCTCTATGAAGTTCTAGAACTCTCAGCATCCCTCCAATTCAATTCAGATTGACTCTTGCTTTTCCAAAATAAATATCTTGCTAATCTGCCTCCAAAAAAATTTTTTTGATTGATCATAGGAAAAATTTTAAGTGTACATAAAAGTTGAGTAGAAATATCACCTAAATTCTCACAAACCTATGAAACTATTGTTTCATTTTGGGAACCATCCCTCCAGATTTCTTGCCATACTTAAATGTGATGCTTACAAATATGAATTATATATCTTCCACAAGGATGAACACATAGTAAGTTTTGTTCATTTTTCTATCTCTAGCCACAAAAGATTATTTGGCATATAGTAGATCTTTAGTTTATATTACTTGAAACAATTAGTGATGTATACATTGAATCAAGGTAGCTAAACATACATGATTTTACATAAATAGGATCATATTATACATTCAGGTTTATGAATTGCATTTTGTACCCAAATATTACAGACATCATCATCTTGTTACTTGTATCTTGTCTGTCTTCTCCAAAAAATCCCCATGGGTCCAAACAAAGCACTTCATGTTTTTCCCTCAAACCTGTTGCTCTCCCATCTGTCTCTGTCTCAATAAAAGAAAGTAGTAGCCACACCGTTGACCAAGTCAAACTTCCAGGAGTCAACAACTCTTTCTTTCCTTCATGCTCCAGATTCAATCCAAGAGCCAACCTGCCAACTCTAATGGTGAATCTCCCAATCACTCTCCATGACTCTACTTGGGACAAGCTTCACTCTCTTGTGCCCAGACAAAGGCCATAAAATGCTCTGCCTACTTCAATTTTTCTTCCATAAATTTCACACAACATGAATGCTAAATTTCATTCATTTAACACATCAATCACTTCGTGTAAAAATGATGGAAGATCTTCAAATAAAGTCTCTTTTCACTTACAAAAACATCCAGTCATTTGCCTCTGCTTTCAAGTGATCTGTCTGCACATGATCTGTTGGCTGCCTATAACTCCCCTCTCATCTCCTTCCTCTCTTTCCCCAGTTCCACTGGATTTCTTTCTGTTCTTTCAATTATCAAGGTTCTCTCTACCTCAGGGCCTTTGCACAGGCTCTTCCTCTGACTGGAATTATCATATCTTCATTTTTTGCATGCCTGGATCCTACTGAGGACACACAAATGTACC